ACGCTCTGTACACTAAGACTCCTGTTCTTCATTCCTGGTTCGCCGTCGTTTTCCGGGTCGTAGCCTTAGGCTCATTCCTAGCCGCCTTCTGTAAGTTCCATTACAGACCCAGGAAGAGCCAAGAATTCCACGGAGCAGATGTTGTCATCACATATTTCCTCTTTGCTGTCGGAATCTTCCTAGATTTCGTGTCCATCCTCGTATACTTGGTCTCCGACTGGACATTCGCTGTCCTAAGCCAGCTGAGGGATGACCCTTACCAGGCCTTGTCATTTAAAGACATAACATTAAACAAGATTCTTGCTTTCAGGGCCCTGAAATGGCAGAAGCAAGAATGCTGCGATGGGGTTGAGCACGAGATCCTGGCCACGCCATTTCTGCTCAGGAGATGGTCAGGAAATCTTCACGCTTTCAACTTCGTCGCCTACTGCATGAAAACGCACGTAAAACCGATCCACGAGGTCAAGAGCCTGTTAGATCTTCTCTGCAAACCCCTCATTTACGTGTTCCGGTTCTTCGCTGCAATGATCCAGGGCTTATTCAGAAGCATCGGCCGTGGAATCGATCTTTTCCACAAGTCTATGAGCCACGGTATCGAACGCTGGTCGAGGAAAAACCAGGTCACTCGTCAAATACTCTCCCCTCTGAGGATTTACGTCGAGTTCTGGATCCGGAATCCGCACTTTACGAGCGACGTATGGGATTGGATCGTCGATTACTTGAACGTCAAGGATCTGATCGATAGGATGAGATTCGTGTACAGCGAGAGATTGACACTGAACCAGTGGAGGTTCATATTCAACGAGCTGAGAGAGAAGTCTCACTTTGCAGACACGCCAGATAACGCGAAGAGAATATCCTCGGCTCGAGGGGAGTGGGCTTTGCGTCACACGAGATCAGACAAGGCCGAGACGTCGAGCCGCGCGGACGAGAAATGGAGCGAAGATCACGGGAAGCTGATGCAGTACGTGTCGAACGCGGTGGATTACGACCAGAGCCTTCTCATGTGGCACATCGCCACCGAGCTATGCTACCAGGCCGAAGACGAGGAGGGATCGACCGAGAAAAACTGCGACGCTCGAGAGTTCAGCAAAGTGATGTCGGATTACATGATGTATCTGCTGATAATGCAGCCGAAGCTGATGTCGGAAGTGGCGGGAATCGGGAAGATAAGGTTCAGAGATACGATGGCGGAGGCGAGGAAGCTGATGGAGAGGAGGCATGTGATGGAGAGGGAGGTGAGGGAAGCGTGCAGGACGATAAGCTCCATTAGTACGGACGTGGAGCCGGTGGACGTGAAGGGAGACAGGAGCAAGTCGGTGCTGTTCGAAGGGAGCTCGCTGGCCAAACAGCTGAAACTGGTGGAGGAGAAGCATAAGGTGAACAAGTGGATGATTATGAGCAGAGTTTGGGTCGAGTTGCTGTCCTATGCCGCTTGCAGGTAGGCAGGGAGGGGGCGCTTTACTCCGGTTTCGGTTTTCGATTCGGTTCGGTTATATAATCGTTCGTTTTTTATATCGGATTATGTTCGGTTAGGTTTCGATGAAGATATTCGTTTTCTTAAAAAGAAATTTTTGGTATTTTTCGAAGGTTTTCTTAAACTGATCTATTCGGTTTAGGTTCGATTCGCTTTTCTGGTTTTTGAAAATCATAACCTTTAGATTCAGGTTAAGTTAGAATATATTCGGATTCAGTTATTTCGATTTTAGAAAAATTATAACCGTCCGGTTTTTATACTATATTCATTCTGGTTCGGTTTTCGTTTTTTATTGGTAAAGTAATCATTTTTTAAAAGAAATTTTCGGTTTTTTACTTGGTATTTGGTTTTCGGTTTTAAAAAAAATTATAACCATTCGATTCACTTCGATTATACTATGTGTTGATAATTTCAGTTTTTAAAAAATGATAACTATTCGATTTTGATGTTGAATTTGGTTCTATTCGATTCCATTTCTGTTTTTATTGAGAAAGATATTTTTTTAAGAGAATTTTTTGGTTTTCCGAAAACTTTTTATCCGGTTTAGATATTATCCAATTTAGATCGGTTCGGTTAATCGGTTATTAAGCAAATAAGCGAATTCTGGGCTTGCAGGTGCGAAGCCACAGCTCATGTGAAGCAGCTGAGTAGAGGAGGAGAGCTAATCAACTTTGTGTGGCTTTTAATGGCGCATTTCGGACTCGGAGATCAGTTTCAGATCAACCAAGGAGATGCCAGAGCTAAACTTGTTGTCGGAAAATGATTTTTTTTTTTTTATTAATTTAATCCTAAAACTCTCTCTGATTAGGGTTCTTCCGATGAAATTGCCATGAATCTTTTATATGATATATATATATATAGGGAGAGAGAGAAGGCATGACCCTAACTTAGTTTTGAAACTTTTTTTTTGGTTGCTGAAATTAAATGTTATTCAGAGTTGTCAAAAAATAGAGCCTACAAAAAAAACGAACCCAATAATGTACACTAGTATCTGAATCCAATGTTTTTTAAAAAATATAATCAAATGTAAACTCGAGCTATAATGGAAATTAATATAAAACTATACAATTATAATTTTATTAAAATTTTAAAAAAGTGAATAATTTTATATATATAAAGACGTGACTGGCAAAATGCTGTATTGTGAGTCAATGGTCATTGTTTAATAAACGAGGGAACACTATCCTAAGTTCCACTTGTCCTAAAGAAAGACCCAACTTGAATTATTATATTTAGAAAAACATAGTCATTCTTTAATGTAATTTACAATCTGTAATATATATATATATATATATTGTATTAAATAATACAAATCTCTTTGATAGTCGGGCCATTTTAAAATTGAGAGTGCCGGCAGGTTTTTAAATAATAGTAAATAAAAAATGACAACCTAGCTTAGCATGTGAAATATATATATATATATATATTTATTCATATTTGTTTTCCCAAAAAATAGTGTATTTTTATCAAACAAATGCTATTTTCATATACTTATTCCATTCATTTAATAGAATAACAAATGGCTACGAAAGAAGGAGATGAGCATCGAAGAGCGG